TCTTCCGATTTTGCCCTCCCAAGCTTAATCATCTCCTCCAATTTCCCTCTCGTTATGATCCTCCTTCTCCGGCCATTTTCCCCCGCCGCCTCTTCCGACGGGGACAACGGCCCATCGTCGCCGGCGGCGAAGACCCTTTTCGGTCTTTTCAACTCTGCGTCCACGTGGACCCCTTTAAACGACGCCGTATTGGTCTGATCCCTCTGTTTGTTGATGTCTGAATTTTGGCCAAGGCACCAGTTGCAGGTGTCGTACGAATCCGAATTAGGGTACATGTTGCTGCAGTATCTGTGAGAAAGTAACGGTCTTGATCATCTGGGTCAGATCAAATTGGTTCAATGATTGATTGGTCGTAGATACATATATATATGTCAATATATATCTACATGTATATATATTATACATACGCATATATACCTATGTTGAGACCGGAAACGGCATGTTTTGCAGAAGAGAAGCTCGTGGGAGAGACCAGAATCTCCGCACATGCAACATTCAGTGGCTGCGTTGAAAGTTTGATCTTGCTCTGTCATCTTTATAATCTGTTCGCTCCCATGGCGGCGAGAGATAGAGAGATAGAGAGAGAGAGATTCTAAAAGGGGGAGAAGAAGAGAGTGTTTGGAGATATTTTATGTTATTTGCAGAGAATGATGACAAAGGAGATTTAGTATTTGTGGGGCAAGTTGTCGCGTAAGAAATCAGAATATATATACACACACACATACATAAACAAGCTTATAGCTGTTGACCATGGCGTAGTGGTTGTGGCAAATCATCTGATAGGGTATGACCATGCGTGATAGTTTTTTAATGACCATGTTATCTGATTGCATCAAATATACAAACAGGTCATAAATTTATGAATATAGTACAAACTTCCAAACACTTTGGTTTATATCAATGAATTTCGTATTTTCGCTATTTTTGTTTATTTTTTTCAAAATCTTGAAATATAATTCATATATTCGTAGATTTACGTATGTGATTGGATTTTTTACCCATTTTTTTTTTATAGTTTTTAGAGGTGATATCATTAGACAGAGATATAAAAAAAAATAGATATTTGTGATCGTATAAAATGCATAAATTCAAAAAAAAATGTTATTCTCATTGGATTTAAAAAGATTAGCATAGTCAATATTTTTCGAGAAAAACAAACAAGTTTTACCCTATATTGTAATTGCTAATCAATACGGCTTATGTCATCGTAACAGAAAGAATTCAAATACAATTTTAAATCTAAATATTACTTTTTTTTTGTACAGAATTCTAAATATTACTTCGAAGTGTATTTGCATTATCATTTTTAAAAACTACACGTGCTCTAATTGGTTCAGCTACCTTACCAAAAAACATTGAGATCGTACCTTTCTCGTAAAAGAATCTATTACAAGGTATAGTTGCCATTTTTTAAAATTTTGTTTTCGCTATTTTTGTTTAAAAATTATATTTAATCTGATTTTTTTTATCAAAGAGACTGTTACAAGGTGGTCGACTAAAAATTTCGTTTTCATTTATTTTTTCTATTTTTTTCTTTTTCTTTTTATTTTTTTTTTTACTTTTTTTAATTATTTTTTAAATAAATTTTATCGAGGTGTTGAGTCATCAACGGTCAGATTGACCGTTAACGAATTTTTTCAAAGATGTTTTTTTGGAATTTTATTTAGTTTTGGTGCGAATACAACTAGTGGACTTTTATCATGTGGGCCCACTAGTTTAAGCGATCATTTCTAATGGGCTTTTATGATGTAGGCTTCTTCGTAGTAAAATAAAATATCATATGGGCTTCTTCTGATTATTTTTATACAATCACATGGACTTTCCGTTGATGACCCAAAGAAAACCATGGAGGTATGCGTAGAACAAGAATCCTATGACCTCTATATATTTATTTTTCGCAAACCAGATCAAATTGACGAAAATAATATTTGTTTATAACACATATTTTGACCTAAATCGAAATCCTAAAATGTTCGTTTGTTGTTTCAAAAAAACAGTTTATGAATTAGTTCGATCAAACTAAAATTATAATTTGTTCTAACTCTCGACCAGAACAATTTTTTTTTTGTTTAGAATTCTGAATCAACGTCAATTTATTTACTGACATATAATTTCTCCATTTTTTTTTGTATGACCGGCTCTCTTTTTTTTTGGATTGACCACGAGACTTACTAAACGACATTCAACTATAAATCGATATTTTTAAACTTTATATATTCGGATTAATCCTCATTTATCCTTTAATCATCGTATAAAACGGTAAAAGATTGGTCTGAACGATTATTTCATTAGAATGGCAGAATTCGAAACATGACATGTGGTTAAGGGAGTAAAATGGTGAACCATCTGCGCTAACTCTTGAGGTTATATGATCGACTCATTTGTCCATATACATACATGAAAGAGAAATAAAAATGAAATAAATGGATGAAATTGATAACAATGGCCATTTTTCCCACAAACCCAACTGACCAAACCTAATCCCCACCACAGGAGAAGCAGACAACGGACGAGACTCGGAACAAACACTGTACCAAATTTTCAGTTAAACTTACATTTCATCTGTCACGTTGATGAAAATATTATACTTCGCGTTGTCTCGTCTTTAAACTTATTATATGTCGTCAATCATGTTGATTTGTCCCAAACTTGACATTAATTGTCCGAAAATGAACCGTTTGGTATTATATTTATGTAATCCTAAATATTTTAATAAAACTATTAACAATTTGTATTTTTAGAAGAAAGAAAAAAGGAAAGTGATGGAAAATGATGGGAAAAAAAAAGACGAATCGATGGAGGTTTCCAAACACCATTCGTGGGCGATTAGTAAAGGGAGAATATAATGTGAAGGAGACGTGCATTGACTGTATACATCGAAGTCAAAAATAAAATAAAAATTATGTACTGAGTTTCCCGTTGCAATTAACAAAGAATAACCGGGAAAATAAACAATGACTATATATATTTATAGGGAAAATGGCAAATAAATATATCAATTTGTTAATTTCTTACTCATAAATACATGAACTTGTAATCTCCCAACAAAATACATCAATTCGCAATTTTCTGGCAAATTAGTACACATACACTAACACCGTTAACTTTGTAACATTTTAAAATAATTAAAATTTAAAATTTATAAAAATTATAAAATTACAAATTTGAAAAAATAAATTTTAAATTAAATTCAAAAAATTCAAAATTAAAATTTAAAAAGAAATATTAAAAAAAATAAAACTTTAAATTTCAAAACTAAAATATATACACATATATACATAAATTTACACAAATATATATAAACATATATACACACATAAATAAAAATATATATATATATACATATTTTAGTTTGTAAACATATATACACACATGAAATATATATACATATATATAAAATATATATTTTTGTAAACATATATACACACATAAAATACATATACATATATGTATATGTATATATATTTTATGTGTGTATATATGTTTACAAACTAAAATATGTATATATATATATATATATATAAATTTACAAATATATATATATATATTTATTTATGTGTGTATTTATGTTTATATATATTTGTTTAAATTTATGTATATCTGTGTGTATACATTTTAGTTTTGAAATTTAAAGTTTTATTTTTTTTAATATTTCTTTAAAATTTTAATTTTGAATTTTTTGAATTTAATTTAAAATTTATTTTTTCAAATTTGTAATTTTGTAATTTATATAAATTTTAATTTTTAAATTTATTTTTAAAAATTATTTTTATTTTAAATGAATTTAATTTTAATTTTAATTTTTTAATGACGTGGAAAAATGTTTGACATGTGGCGCTGACGTGGAAAATCCGGTGAGCCACGTCAGCACCGTTCATCGGAAACTGTTACAAAGTTAACGGTGTTAGTGTCTATGTATTAATTTGCCAGAAAATTGCGAATTGATGTATTTTGTTGGGAGATTACAAGTTCATGTATTTATGAGTAAGAAATTAACAAATTGATGTATTTATTTGCCATTTTCCCTATATTTATATGTGTGTGTATTTTTGTTCGGGACCGATAGAAGTCGGTCCACCACCAATAGAGTCCTAAAAGTTGGAGATCTATGAATCGACATGGTTGACTCTTTTTCTGTCCTTAAAATGATGATATAGTAATGTTGATAGTATGTTCCTTAACCTTTTTTTATAATATGTGATTTATCAAGGGTGGAGTTCGAATCTGGGTGGAGCACTTTTTATGTTCCTTAATTTCATATGCTATTAGATGGATATTTTTTTTTTTCAATTTCATGGATATAATTATACAACTAGTTTTACAAGATTCATTAATCAAATGTTGCCTGTATAATGTTTATCATAATGAATAAATATAAGAGATAAAAGCTTTATGGTATTCGATGAATTGACAATACACATTAATTGAATCTTGTATATTGTTAGATAATATAATAGTATCGGACACGCATAGGAATTAGTATTAAAAGAGTTCGAAAAGTTTGAACCTCGACTAGGTAGATTATTGATTTTTTTTTTACCAGATATCGAGCAATTTAAAATATCAATTTGATATTAGTGGAATTTATATTAGGAATCATAGCATAACCTAAAAAAATAAAATAAAAATCATCCCACGTTCCAAAACCATTTACTAGTTTCCAATAATGATTAACAAAACGAATAAATCATCTCTTCATGAAAAGTTATTGTCGGTCGGCCAATGCAAAAAACTTTTTCATTCAACGTACGAAACAAAATTCAAACATGAACTCTATCATTCCTAAAGATGGTACTACACGTGTTAGAATGATTGACTGAATTTAAAATTTTGTTAAACAAGGGAAAATTTTAAAAATACCATTATATACATATTTTTTTCGTGAAATTATATGTAGTAATAATAATAGTTATATAGAGTTTTTTTTTAACCAATGAAAATCAAATATACACGAGAAATATATAATAGATTAATGAATTCTATGCGTTTTTCTACCAAATAAGAGAATTTTAGACGTTTTAACTTCTAACAAAAAAAATATCTAAAATAATAAATTTACAAAAAGAAAAACAATTAAAATTGTTTATATCCTTTTAGATAATAAATAAATCAAAGTGATTCGAACACATTCAGGTAATAACGCAATCCATTTATATAACTCTAGCGAACTTTTCATGCACGTTGATAATAGCTGCCCAACGTCCACGTCATACTTAAACACCCATTATACTAATTAATCATAATTAACTGTAAACACACAAATGCTAATCTACTTTTCATGCTTAATCTCCCACACGAGACATGTGTAGGCTCGTATAGATATGCATTTTTAAGTTGCATATATCGACACGTCCTGCTTGGGCAGATGACGTAAACACATATCTTTATTATTATAAAAAAGACTTTGTATGTTATTATATAATTAATATTAAATACACCATACACATGTCTATGATTATATATATATATCATGACTTCAACGCCAAGGACGGAGCTAAATTGGCTTCTTTCAAGTCATTGTTGCTCTTCAAAGTGGCGAACCAAGAAGAACACGACTTCTACGCCACCACTTTCACGGCGGCGGCCGCCGAGG